AACACTGGGACTACTGAACTACTTACAGAAATTAAGTAGGTCTGATGAAAACAAGGAACACTGTGTGATTGTGTGTCCTGTATGAGGTCAAATCTCCTCGCTTCACAAGGCTTTGGGGCCATCCAGCCACCCACAGGCTCAGAACTTTCTGCACCCAGCAGACCACAGGGAAGCAGCAAGCCCTGAGCTGCTGCAGGAGTGCGAGGCTGCTCTGTGGAGCCCTGCCAACCACTTGCCATGGCATACTTTGGGAACCATTCCTTTAGACATACTGACGAGAGCAGGGTAATGTATTTCTACTGGAAAATAAACATATCTCTAATGAAAACCTGGTGCGCCACCATTTAGTCTTTTTTCCCTTTTTCTTTTTTTTTTTTTTTAAGTGAAAATTAGGGATTCTGTCTTGTCAGACCTAAGCACCCAAGCTGTTCCTCATACTTGCCATGCCAACCCATCAGCATTATTTCTCAAGCATAAAGAGAGCCTGGAAAACTTAACCAAAGAGAAAGCAAGAGAAAAACTCAGACAAAAAATGTTTGGCTGGAAACTCCTTTTCCTCTTTTCTCTTCTCTTCTCTTCTCTTCTCTTCTCTTCTCTTCTCCTCTTCTCTTCTTTCTTCTCTTCCTCTTCCCTTCCCATCTCTCCTCTCCTCTCCTCTCCTCTCCTCTCCTCTCCTCTCCTCTCCTCTCCTCTCCTCTCCTCTCCTCTCCTCTCCTCTCCTCTCCTCTCCTCTCCTCTCCTCTCCTCTCCTCTCTTCTCTCTTTTCTTCCCTTCTCCTCTCTCGTTTTTAGGTTTCCAATCATGGGCTTCCTGCTCTCTATATTTTTCCATGGTCAAAGATGAAGGTGTAGATTTGAAGCTTTTGTGCCTACAGCTGATGGAATAAGAATGACTTTGTAACAAAGATCATTTTGTTCTACATCTTCACCCCAGCTTTGACTTGAATTAGTGCTGCCCAAAGCAAGCTAAAAGATAAAAAATCCTGACAGTTGAATAACTGTGTTGCTAGGACAGTACCACTGATGTTTTGCTGCTACAAATTTCGTTGCTTGTGGAGCCTCCCATTGAAAACAGAGTAGGCACTGCCCAAGCTTCAAATGTAAAGCAGAAATGCCCTTTTTCTTTTGTCACAACACTTTTTGGGTCTTCTTTAGATGGCAAAAGGATGCCAGATGAGGGAAAGGAGCAAAACTAAGCAGTTTGCAACCATTTTAGCCTTTAGTGCTAAAATGCCTTTAGCATCACATCTTTCTTCTTACATGGAATCATTTTGATAAGGTTTTTCTGTATGTGATATGTAAACTTTCCAACTTTAAATCCTCTAATGAAGGGCTAGATTGTGATATGGGCCCACAGAGGGGGAAGGTAGTTGAACGCACCACTCAGCTTCTCAGTCCATGCTTACAGCCATAAGTAGGATTTTTCCCCAGTGCTTCTGGTTCTGAGGAGAACAGGAAGGGGCTGCCATGGTGGATCCCACGGGCACAATTAAGCCTTATAATACCTTCCTGGGGCTTGTCTGTATTCCCTACCCACCCTGAGAAGTTGAGACCACCACCAAAAGAAGTGCTTCACACTAGCCAGCACAAGAGCATGGAGTTAGCCCACTGCGGGCTGCCTGATAGGGAGTCGTGGAGTCTTCCAAGCCTGCTGCAGACCTGGTGCCTCCCCCTTCTGCTCTGGGGACGCCACAAGCACTATTTTCGTTGCCTTCGAAAGGGGAAACCTCCTCGAGAGCTTCTGCTCTATCATGGAGACCTGTTGAAGTGAGGTGCCTGGAGCAAAGGCATTTTTACTGGCATGGGATGATTCCAAAGCATGTTTAGAAAGTCCAAGAGACAGCTGAATGAGTTGAGTTACTCCAGGGCTTTGGGATCCTCCAGGATGAAAAATGCTGTATATATGCTGGATTTTATTATTCATAGAATCATAGGATGGTTTGGATTGGAAACGACCTTAAGATTATCCAGTTCCAATCCCCGTGCCATGGACAGGGACACCTTCCACTACACCAGGTTGCTCCAAACCCGTCCAAACTGGCCAGGGATGGGGCAGCCACAGCTTCTCTGGGCAACCTGTGCCAACACCTCAACACCCTCACAGGGAAGAACTTCCTCCTGTCTAACCTGAACTTCCTCTATTTCGGTTTAAACCCATTACCCCTTGTCCTATCACTACAGGTCCTGATGAAGAGTTCCTCTCCAACATCCTTGTAGGCCCCCTTCAGATACTGAAAGGCTGCTACGAGGTCTCCATGCAGCTTCTCCAGGCTCAACAGCCCCAACTTTCTCAGCCTGTCTTCATTCGGGATATGCTCCAATCCCCTGATCATCCTCATGGCCTCCTCTGGACTTGCTCCAACAGTTCCCTGTTCTTCTTACATTGAGGACATCAGAACTGCACGCAGCACAAGTGGGGTCTCACGAGAGCAGAGGGGGAGAATACCCTTCCTCAACCTGTTGCTCACGCTCTGGGGATGCAGCCCAACACACAGGGGTGTTCTGAGCTGTGTGCGCACACTGAAGCCGGCTCATGTTCATTTTCTCATTGACCAATGCCCCCAAGTCCTTCTCCGCAGGGCTGCTCTGAATCTCTTCTCTGCCCAACCTGTAGCTGTGCCTGGCATTGCCCCGACTCCGGTGTAGGATCTTGCATTTTGCATTGTTGAACTTCAGGAGGTTATTCCAATTACAGTGAGATGTTAATTGCCAGGGTTTAAGAAGGCAGCAGTGCCAGCAGCAGCACACCTCTCCGTGTGACTGCCCACTACTGACTCCCAGGTGTATCTGCCCTGTGAGCTGCTTGTTTGAATTTCAATGCTCTCAAGACACCGGTGTCTCCCACCCCAGTGCAGGACTGCCCGGCTTTGCTTCAAGCATCACACTGGGGTCAGGAAGTTGGTGATGAATGTGTTTTCCTGATAATACTCAGTATCAAGAAATAACAATACCCATTTTCTTTGCAAATTGCTTTGAGAGCTAATGTTAACAGGGCTGGGGAACAGTGTCGTTTCATGGCTCTGTTGCAGAGTATGATCCAAATGATTGAAGAAGTTCAGCAGAAATCCCAAGCTGGGATCATGTCAGGAATACACAGCAAAGGAAGAAAGGCTGGATACATTTAAACCACATGCTTTAATACCATAACTGGAATGCAGGGTGGCTGGCTCTGAGCAGCAGTTTTGTCTCCCTGAAGTCCAGGGAATGCTCTGGCTTTATGCGGACACAGGACTGGATCATTAGCCTCGCCATTTTGGGAGGGGTTTGTTTTCTTTCCTAACATTTGGAATTTCTGGGACGATGAAGAGGCCGAAGGCTGGGGGACATGCTCTGTTTGTTAGTTTGCTGGATGAAAGCTGGCTCTGCAAGTGCGTGGCACACTTCAGTGGGGTGCTCTTGGCTGGTCTGATATTGCAGCCCATTGCTTTGCCTGGTGGTTAACCAGCGCATTGTGGTGAGAAGTTGATCATGGTCTGTGTTGCTCCCTCCCCACACCCTGCCTCAGCCTCAGTGGGTAGATGGTTATCTCATGCCCCTGGGAGGGAGTGACTGGCATGGGCAGGAATGTTCTTACACACCGTCAGCCTGGAGGAGCCAGCAGTGTGCCCAGTTCCTGGACATGGTTCAAGTGTGAGCTCAGTGCCAAGCAATGTGGAGGTAAAGGACGTGAGAAGGGTTGTAGTTTGTGCCATGTGGACACACACCAGTCTCCCACCCCGTATGCCTCAAAGGTGGAGGGTCCAGCTCTCCACCAAGAGCTTTAGCCCCACACCACGGAGAAGGGGGTGAAAAAAAGATCCAGCGACGTCACACCACGTGCACCGTGGGATGCAGGAACACTGCCTCGAGTGAAAGGGGTGCTGCTGGAAGGCTGCAGCCTCCCACGCTGAGCATGCCGCGATGCTGGAATACACTCGGCAGTGACATCTGGATGTGCTGGTGCGACGCGGTGCCATGCCCTCCTTCTAGCTCTGCGTGGAGCTGGAAGAGGGCTTTGGAGGTGGCTTCTGTGGAACAGCAGCAGTGGTGGACACCAGAGGTAGAGAGAGGGACGAGCTGCCGGTCAGGTCAGTGCCGGTGCCCAGAGCCCTCCTGGCCGATGCAGACAGAGGATGCCGAGGGCAGGCAAGAGGAGGGGGCACCTCCCGCGTCGGGGGCCACCGCCACCAGCGCAGCGCCTGCCCACCGCTGGTGCCGGCCCCGGGGGGAGAGGGGAGGGCGGCTGGACCCTGCGGGCGCGGCTGTCACTCTGCGCGCGGCGAAAGTGACAGCGGGGGCGGGGCGGGCGCGCGCTGGGCGCGTATTTAACTTGGGCAGCGGGCGGCGCGCGGCAGAGCGCGGCGGGCGGGCGGAGGGCGCGGGAGAGCCGAGCTGAGCCGTGCCCAACCCAACCCAACCGAGCGGAGCTGAGCGGCTTTGAGCCCAGCCGAGCAGAGCGGCGCGGAGCCGCGGCTGGATCCGTTGAGCTCAGCGTAGCCGGCCGGGACCCCGAAGCAGCGGCAGCACCGGCAGCGGCAGCAGCATGGGTCGCCAGGGCTGCTGAGCGGCCGAGCCCGCCCCTGCCCGCCCTCGCCGAGGAGCCGCTCGGAGCGGCGGGCGCCGCCAAGGACCGCACCGGGAGCCGGTGCCTGGGACATCTCCTGCATACACACACTCCGTCGCGCCGAGGATGCTCCGGGGGCCAGCTGGCCGCCCCCGCCACTCGCCATGAGGAGAAGCCCGGCCGGGCCTCGGGCGCTGCCGCCGCTGCCAGCCGCCGCCTGAGCCCCGCGCCCTGACGGTGCCCGCGCAGGGGCCGCCCGAGCGGTCCGCCGTGACCCTTCCCCCCGCCCTTCGCCCTGCCCGCCCGGCTATAAAGGAGGGTTTTATTCTCGGGCTCCGGTCTCACGCCAAACCCTGTCACACCGTCTAGACAAGCTGTCGTGGGGCTCGGCCCAGCTGTCACCATGGCGATGGAGACGAGTCCGCTGTGAATTTGGGGGGGGGGGGGGGGGGGGGGGAGCGAGGGAGAGCGGCGACGGAGGAAGGCTCGGCCGCCGCCGTGCCCTGCCCTGCCCCGCGAGGGAGGCACGGACCCCCGGCGCTCTCGGCCGCGGCTGGAGCCGGCCCGGCGGGGAGCCCCGGGGAGCCAGCGGCCGCGGAGCGAGCCTCAGATGTGTCTGTCACACAACCCCGGCAGAGCTATTTAAAGTAACGGGCCTCGCCGGACTTTTGTCTCTGCCTATTTATGAGTCCCCCAGAGCTGGCAGGCACCGCCGGGCAGCGCTAGGAGCCGAGCCCGTGGGGACGCCAGCGGGGGCCCGCCCGGAGCATGACGGCGATCCGGGCGCTGCTGCTCTGCTCCTGCCTGGGGCTGCTGCGCCCCGTGGGCGGGCAGCCCTTCCTGCGACTGCGACCCTCGCCCAGCGACAACCTGCCCGTCAAAGACATCGTGGAGCACCCGGATCCCGAGTACGACCCCAAGGAGCATGACTTGGACGAGAGGACTCTGCGGAAGAAGCTGGGCAGCCATTTCGACCCCGGCTTCATGGCCGTGGCCGTGCCGGGACCGGCCAACGCGTCGGGCGCCGAGGCGGCGGCGGGGCGGGCGCGGGCGGCGCTGCCGGCGGAGCTGCGGCGGCTGGAGCTGGGCCCGCCCCAGGGACCGCGGCTCAGGGTGGGCAAGAAGGCGCGGCGGAAGGTGCTGCAGTGGCTCTGGGCGTACACCTACTGCCCCGTCCTCTACACATGGAAGGACCTGGGCGTCCGGTTCTGGCCTCGCTACATCAAGGAGGGCAACTGCTTCGCCGAGAAGTCCTGCTCGCTGCCAGAGGGCATGTTTTGCAAGCCCGTCAAGTCGGTCACCAAGACCTTCCTGCGCTGGCATTGCCAGGGCTGGTCCAGTCAGAAGTACTGCACTTGGATCCCGGTGCAGTACCCGCTCATCTCCGAGTGCAAGTGCTCCTGCTAACCCCCCCCGGCCTCGCCCCACCGCCCGGCATCGCCCGCATGATTTGGGGAAAGAGGCTGTGAGTGTTTTCACACTGCCCAGCGCTGGGTGTTGGGGCGAGGAACTGGGTCGTTTGGTTTTCTTTGTTTTTTTCTGGACTTATTTTAATGTTATTTTATTTGAAAGGGGAAAAGCGAACCCAGGAACTGCAGGGCAGGCCAAAGGCACAGTAAAGCACTACAAGCAGATGTCTATTTTTATACGTATATAGCCTTCTAACAAAAGGAAAATAAAAAAAAAAAAAAAAAAATTACCAGCCGTGTAAATAGAGAGGTTTTAAAGGAAAGGGAGGAAATCGCAGTTGTTGGGGTTTTTTTTAATTATTATTATAATTATTGTTATTATTATTATTTTAAAGACATAGGACCACATTTTAAACCCATCCCCACAGAACCTGAGCACTTCTGTGCTGAAGGGAAGGGCAAAGATTTCCCATAAAGATGATTTTATCAAAAGGAGAAAGGGGGGAAGGGGGGGGTAAAGAAAGCAAAGCAGGAACAGCAGCAGCCCCCAAGATGGTTGTTTCTCTGTGCTGTATTTTGTCTTCTTCAGACCTTGTCCCTGATGTTTGAACTAATTTGCCACGCTCCCTAGGGTTGTTTTTTAAAGTGTATAACAATTAATTCAGGAAATTTTAAATTACAAATCTATGAAAGAGTGGAATCATTTTGTTGTGTGGGAATACATATAGTCATGTAGAGATGCTAAAGGAAATTTTCTGTGTACAGTTTATTTATTTTTAACGTTTGTGTATAGGAAAAAAAAAACAAACAAGCTAGAGATTATGCCAGAAACTATTGGAAATGTTTACTTGAATATTCCTTTAAAAACATATCAATGTAAATATGAGCTATCACTGAGCAGAAAAAAAAAAAAGGCATTTTTAGCAATAAACTCTATCTTTGAAGGAGCCCTCTCCCCCATGGTGCACCCCACTTCCCCACAGGAACTGCCGAGACCCCAGGTCTTGCTCAGAGCAGGTGATGAGTAAAGGGCTTTGGCCGTGTGAATCGTGACACGCTCCTGAGTCTGGTGGAGCTCCACTGGCTTCTGTGCCTGGGATCATGCTCTGGGCTCTGTGTGTTTAACCTGATGGGGAGAGAGAAACAAAAAAATGGGGAGAGGAATGGCTCATAACATGCAAAAAGAGTGCGATGTCCCAGCCAGAAGGTGTCATCTGAAGTCCTTGGGAGATTCCATGCTCTGTAGCTCTTGGATTCAGCTCTTCTCCCACTGGCAGAGGAAGCAATCGAGGTTACTACCCCAGCCATCAAAGCGCCTGACACAGCTAGGCAGCCCCATGTGTGTCAGAACAAATGTTTTTTCCTTGGCTGCCACTGCTAGCACGGGAGGGGAGGATATTGACAAGCCCCGTGCCCAGCCCTGCTGCTGCCACGGAGCCCAAGGCCTGTCGTAAGCTAGGGTGAGGAGGAACTGCAGATCCCACAACGGCTCTGCATGCCCTCAGCTTCCCACCCTGGTATGCCAGGGCCACCGGGACCCTCACTATTCTGCTGGAGTTCATGGAGCCAGGGACAGGGACAGACATCCTGGCAGGCTGTGGGCAATGGAGCCACTGGGGAAGAGCCCAGCACTGGTGAGCAGGGACCTTGGCAGTGCAAGACCATTCCCGATGGACATCTGTCTGTCTGTCTGTCATAGGGCTTGGAGTGGGGCCCTGACATGCTGCTAGGCCGTCCTCCTGCATGCTTCATGTGGGCTGCTGGTGGTGGAGGGAAGGTCTGGCCATTCCCTAGAGTGTCTAAAACGTGCCCAGCATCCCTGAGGAACAAACTGCTGCCGAAGGCCCTTGCCAGCAAGAAGCCACGCTCCGCCAAGCTGTCTGCAGAGCAGCAGGGAGACCCTGTCCCCCTCTGGCCTGGCACACAGCAGAGGAGAGCAGTGTGACACCAAGTCCATATCCCATGGGAAGGCACCAGGATACTCTGAGGGGTCTGGCTCGCATCTCTCCATCATCCTCTGAGGGTATTGCGGTCCAGTGAACCCCCCTGGAGCAGGCCTGCAGGTTATGCACAGATTGAGGCCTGGAGGTTATGCACAGATTGAGGCCGAAACTGGGAAAGAGCTTTTTTAGTGGGCACGGTGGAGACAAGGCCAGAGGGACAGTGATATTCTTCAGCCCATGTCCCTGCAGAGCCCTGAGGACATCCGCTCAGCTCTGTGCGAGGAGCAGGTTGGCCTTTCCATGCGTTTGTCAGCGAGGGACTGGGGAAGGGGGAGTCATGGAGGGCAGGGTGAAAAGGAGAGCTCGGTGAAGGCAATGTGCAAAACATCAGGGGCATTTGGGAGAGGAAGGGGAAAGCTCATTTTGCAAGAGGAACAACATCTGTGGTGTGGGGGCTGAACATCTGTAGGAGGGAGCATGGGGGGAGGGCATTCTGGGAAAATATTTCTGACATAATCCCAACAGTATCTGGTGTGTTGGGATTTGGTTACAAATGGCTCTCTAACGTCTGTGCGTTTTGTTCTGCTGGTTCCAGGGGCACACAGAGACCCCTGCTTTGTGCTAACCTGGGAAATAAACCATTCGCTGGGCTCAATGGCTGAGTTCAGTTGCATGGGGAAGGGGGGGTGGGAATGGGGAAGGCGAGAATTGTGTGAACTCCAGCAAAAAACAGCCTAAAAGCCTCTGTGCCATGTGCTGGAGGGAGGAGGGGGGCTGCCTCCGTCTCTGGGGAGACTCAGTGGTCCCACTTGAGATGGCAGCTTGTTTGGAGAGGAAAGCATGAGACTCGGGAGCAGAGGTACTTGGTGTGGGCAGGGGCCGGGGAGCTGAGGGTAGCCCCACGGGGTGTGTGCAGCTCCCCAGGCTCTGGTGTGTGGTCACTTTGTGCTGAGGAACCTCCTGCTCAGCTGCCCCAGGAGGGGATGAGTCGGCCGTGTGACAGCCAGGCCAGGGGCGTGATGGCTGGCCTTGGCTGCTGAGCCTCAAAGGAGAGAAAGACAAAGGAGAACCAGCCTGGTTCTTTGGTGCGGTTATTTCATTGTCTCCCCAAGCTGCTTATGATTAAGGGACAAGCTGGGGGGGAGAAAGGGGGCAGAACCGGCAGAACCCCGAGATGTGGTGGGTGCTGACTTCTGAAGATAGGGGTTCTTCCCTTGTTCTGGCCTGGGAGATGGGCCCAGAGCACCAAAAGGCAGGTGTTGTCCCCTAGGTTGGGTCCCACTTGTCATCACATTGGCAAGAGACAGGCTGTGGCCACACACTGACAGGAGTGTGCACACCTGCTTCTGGACACCCAGCCATTCCTCTATTCACCCAGGATTTGCAGGGGGAGTGTGGCCTCCCCAGTTAGCCAGGTGCTTTGCGGTCTCCCTTCTCTGTGCTGAGTTTCAGGGCTTAAGCAGAAGGTGGTTAGCGGGAGGACCAGCAGTTTGACACCTTCTTCCTTCAAGCAGGGCAGAACACATATGGTGGAGGTGGCTCCATGGGACCCATGGGACCTACCTCATGGCTGCCCCATGTTCTGAGGTCACATGTCAACTGGCAAAGCTTTCCTCTCCACAGAGCTGGCCTGCTCTGACACCACGCACTGTGCTTGGGCAGCTCCCTTGGCTGGATCATGTCTGATCTCTTCCTTGTAGTCCCTACAAAGCATGGCTCAGAGCAGAGAGCTCCTCTCTTGGGTCCACAGAGGTCTTCATCTCTTTCGCATGTCAAAGCCCTTCGTTCACCTCATGAATTGCTTTCCCATGCACAAACCCTAGATTTAGACAATCTTGTCTTGGGAGGGAATGCAAGCACAGAATGGCTTCTGACATTTGACTCACTGGTATGGAGCACTTTCCCATTCGTCTTTCATGTCCCACTTTGGCTTTGAAACCAGCAGTGGGTTAACTTTTTGTCTCTGCTGGCAGAGAATATTTCATCTTGTTTCCCATGCCACCTTGCCCGGTTTAGCTCAGGTCCCCTTAGTTAAGGCCAGTCTCCAGGAATGAGGTTTCTGTTGGCGTGCTGGCTCTGCCAGGGTGACCCAGGATTCACAGGTCCAGAGCTCGCAGGTGTCTAATGCCAGCTCTTGAGATATCTGACTCAGGACCACATGATGATCTAAGCCCATCACTCATCATTCCTAGAAAGGCAGATGAACGGTCTGGACTCAGTAATTGCCTCCTCAAACTTTCAAGCCCAGGCTAAGCTGAGATTTCTCTCAATGTGCAGAATTGTTCTCAACTCCTCCTTTAGTGTGAGTGTTGGCTGTCACTCACCTTTGCAGCCCAGCATGGCCACCAGGAGCCCTCAGGGAAAGCCAGACTCCCTGCATCTTGCTTGGTTCACCAGCAGGTCCCTGGCGAGCCCAACCTGTCGACTGCTGCTGGCCAAGATCTCCAACCAAGCTGGACCTGCTTCCTCCAGGCACTCCCAGATCCCCATTCAAAACCATAATGAAAAACATGCAGTGGTGTTTAGGTGACCAGCACCAGTGCCAGCCAGTGCTGACCATGCTGAGCACAGATGTGCCTCGTGGCATGGGCAGAGGTGGACTCTTGTCTTGCCATCTCTTCACGGCTGCTGGGTGCAAGGGCAGGGGCTCTGCTTCCTTCCTTCTCTTCCTTTCTAAGACCCACCTTAGGCTGCCTTTCTCCCCACTCCTTTGCAGTTCTCCTTAGCTGCCTGTGTCTCCATGCACAGCAAAGCCAACCACATGCCCAGTTGCTGCTTGGCAGAGCTGGGCCCTGATTCCTCGCCAGCATGTGCATGAGGGGTTGCAGGGGTACCTTGGGCTCTACTCACTGTCACTCCCTTCCCCCTCGGGAATGAAACCCTAACATTAACAGCAGCACCATCCAGGAGACACGGCTGCTCTTCAGTGTTAGCTGCCTGGTATTCTGCTTAAAAATGTCAGCCCGTCAAGGAGAAGGGACCACATCATGTGGCTCCCAGGAGCCCAATCAGAGAGGCAGACGCATGAAGAGTGAATCCCGGTGAGCTGGGAGGCAGCGCTCGCAGGACAACCATTGGCTATAGTGGCCCTTTCAGGGGCTGGTGAATGAATCCATTCACAAAAACACAGGGCTAGTTTGCAAACAGCAAAACAGTCTGGAGGAGTCTGCTAGGGAGACACCCAAGCCCTGCAGCAGATGTGTGGGATGTGGCTAGTGCAGCTGTGTCCAAGCCCAAGCAAAGGTGCAGTGAATCTGGGAGGGCCAATTCCACCTCTTCCAGTTTTCAGGCCCCGCTGCTCCTCTCGAGGAGGTTCATTGCCCTGCCCCAAGAATCTCATCCTCCTGCCAGACTCCCAGGCATGGGGCACAGACCGCCAAGGGCACACGGACCACCACTGGGGCATATTAGGAGAGAGACCCTGATCTCCAGCATCACACAGATATCCTGGAAAGGGAGAGAAGCCCTCACAGAAGCCCATGGTCCCAGAGATACGATGGAGCGTACAATGGGAAAAGCTGCTTCTTGGATCTGGAAACTAGGAGTGAAGGGTGTTACACTGGGTAATGCCAGACGTGAGGCATGGTTGCTCTCAGAGGGCATGACTAGGTCAGCCACGTCAGCCACCCTTTCAGTGGAAGGGTGGGCAGGCATTGGAACAGGCCGCCCAGGTGAAGTCACTGTCCCTGGAAGTAACAAGTCATGTAGATGAGGCCCTTAGTGACATGGTTTAGTGGTGGTCTTGGCAGTGCTGTGGGAACAGTTGGACTTAATGGTCTTAAAGGTCTTTTCCAACCTGGCTGATTCCATGATTCTGATTCTATGAGCCTTGTTACCATGTGGTCTAAGGATCACAAACATGGTGCTTCGAAACAAGTTATCTCCCCATGCTGGAGAGCAGAGAACAAGGCGACCAGCCAAGCTCACTGGCCACCCCCCTTAGTTAAGATCTGAACCTTTTCCCCCAGAGAAGTCTTTAAAGCCACTACAAAAAGCCAGGGCTT